AGTCTCTATATCAACGGCAATGTCCCCCTCCCCCCCCCCTCCCTCCTCCCACAGTTGTCGATCCTATGCAAATTTCACTCCCGGAATCAGCGCGGCGCGATTATACTCAGGGAAACACTCAGCGGTCAATCGCGCGGCACAGCGTCGTAAATGGAATGGCCACTAAGAATCGACCGTTGTTCGACCGCTGTCGCGGATGTGTGAAACTTGATCCGACGAGAATGAAGGGAGCGACGTGAATTCGAAGGGGGCGCGCAGCAATCCCAGACACGTTTCCGCTAAGTCTATCGATTTACGCTAATACTCTTTCTCTGCATTCCGTCCCCGTTTATTTTGCGAACACTCGCGAATCTTAACGTCCTGATGATTTTAGACTCGAGAGTCGCGTGTCGAAAGCCCCGGAAACAGAAATTCTCGGATTTAAACGCGCACAATCGCCGTCATATAACGTTGCATGCGAGAAGTGGTGAGTCAAATGTCGCATCTCGCCATCCCGCTTTCGTTCGCATTTCCTCGCGAGAGACGCGACAATTTTCTTGGCAGCCGCGCCAAACAGCGGGATAAGTGGGTTAAGCCTCTCCAAGCGGTTGACAGTAGCGAGATCGGTTGATGTGTGAAAGGAGTGTGTACGTGTGTGTGTGTGTGTGTGTGATATTTATAATATAGCATATGGCGTGTAGTAAATATATATGTAGATATATACAAATAATACCTAGGCGAACGCCACTTCGCGTTAAGATGTCGCCACCCCGAGCCGGGACTGCCGTACTGCAACAGACACCCGAAACACTGTCATCATATGCGTTTAGCAACTAAAAGAGAAGGTGCTTTACCGATCCGACGCATGCCGGTAAAGAGTATATGCAAGAAAAACAGAAATAAAAACGTAACAAACGTCTCCCGCTCGATCTGCGACGCATGCGAGAAGTGCGATTTTTATTCTTCATCCTTTTCGAGCCTTCTAATTGTCGAGAGAGAAAAAAAACGCTTTGTTTTAGTAATTTTTTTCTTTTATCTTTTATCCGAAATTGCGGTTGGTCAAAATTGCTATATTAAATCTCTTTTTGACAGTCGCAAAATTATTTTCGAGTGTCGCGCGCGGCCAAAAAAAAAGGATACGATATCGCGCAATCTTCGTGAAACAATTGTCGAACAATGTTCAGTTTATCCGCAACGAGCGATGGTGGAGCGATCGATCGCTATCGTTGGCGAACAAAAAGCACATTACACGATTAAAGGAGCTCCGTAACGCGATGCGTGCTGCGCTGCGTAACTGTAATCCGCCCCGTAAAATAGTAATCCCGCTGTGTGCGGCACTAACGCGGCGGAGACGTAAAACATCCTCGCGTATCGCCGAGCGCGTGTCGCTTTTTAATTCTTTCGTTCGCGCGCTGGTTTCGCCAAATTGTTCCGTTCTATCGAGCAAAACGACAGATTTCATCGCCGCAATTTTCTTTTTACACCGCTCGTGATTAAACGACTGTCAATTTTATCAATCCCGTTGCTGTTAAATCAGAAGGCTCGTTCAAAACTTGGCGAATTTTCCCGAAATTTAAATATTTTATACAACGATCGGAAAAACTTTTTATTCAATTATATTATAATTAAAATACACGATTTTTCAAGCCCACTTCAATTTTGCGCACGTTTCATCAAAAAACGATAATAATGAATCGAAAATATCGTATTTCCGTTTCGCACGCACCTTTCGTGTTCGCATTTCGGCCGAGCAATGTGGCATGCTTCGAAACGCAATATGCATAGTCTCGCGAGCTGCTCTTGCATCCGCATAGAGAGTCCTCAAGTTCCGCGTGCAATATTACGATCATGTTCCGCGGGCGAAAAACACGAAGAGGAAATTTCCGTGATTTAATCCTTTGTCAAGTAATTTTTGTGACCGATAATCCGCCAACCCGTGATTATTTTCGCGTGTCCGGCAACATCGAGCGAACAATTTAAAAGCCCGGTAATTCATCGACAAGCGAGAAGCACAGCCATTTGGATTCCATTAAATTTTTTGCTCGACGCGCCTTTGCGGACGGCCTTCGACAAAAGGATTCAAAGTATCACCGTCGTATCTAAAGATTTAATATGCATTACGAACGAAACACAGGCGACGGACTCGTGCGGAAATACAAAAAGCAGCTCGAGTCGTAAATTTTACGTCTCTCTGGTTAGTGAGAAAATCTCGGCGAAACTGGCAAAGACAGACACAACGGCGCAGCGTTGCTGTTAGTCATCGGACAGATGCGAGAATCATTAATCTAATGCACATGTGTACTTCGTAGACTCTGTTCCCGGAGGAATATTTTTAGCGCACGCCACGAGATGGAGAAAAATCGCAACGAGAGAAACTTGCGATTCAACAACTGCGAAAAAAAGATCTCTTAGAAGCATCAGAAGTCAAAACTCGTCGACACGAATGTATTTCGCTCCCGGAAAGACAGAAGACGTCGCGCGAATGAACAATGCGGACACCCGCAAGGTTTTCATAATCGATAAACATGTAAATGGGTTGAATGAAAATCGTGCAAATTATCGCAATTGTTCTGCGCCGCTAAATCGATCCCGAATAACCTACGCCGCGCGGTAATCGGAGAGTCATACGATTTCAGCATGCAGCAAACGCGATATTGATAACGATATGTATTTTCTTTTGTGTGCGAACTGTATAATACATAAAATTGTATAAAATTTAAATAAGAGATAAACTGTCATTTCTATCCCGGCTGTGTACCATTTTTATCGGAAGTTTTATTTCTGGAATATAAAATGGAAGCAATGCTTATAAATCGTTTTTAAATTGGTTTTCCCCGTTCAAATGGATAACAATATACGATTAATAGCTACTTTTAAAAATCAATTATCCGGACCAATCTATATCTTCCTTTGAAAATGCAAAGAATGGGCAATCATTGGAGAACAACAGAACAGCATAACACAATGGCTTTAATTAAGAGCTCATAAAATTCGGCGTGCAATAACCGCGATTATTTACGCTTTATTTCAGTTTCCGCGTGATCTCTAAAGGATACGAGTTACGGGCGAGATTTTCACGTCACCCTATAAATCCCGGGCAATGTAACCCAACCCCGCGATCATCGACAATTAACATTTCGAGATACGCGAGAGCCCGGCGCGAGATATTATTTTAAAAGACCGCGCAAATCCGCGGATAAATATTAGCAATTTTGCGCCGGCTGCGCGAGCGTCCGCGGGCTCATTAACGCGGCCCGCGTCGTTAATTCCCGATGAAAGAGTGAATTATTCTCCCGGCGATTTGCATTTTAAAAATAACACCGCTGCACTCCGCGGCGTTTTGTCATCGTTATGACACCCGGGCTCGATCTGCATTAGCACCTCATAAAATTCCGCAGGAAGTAAAACCCGGTAATTTGCGCGCAACCCGAACTCGTCCACAGCCAAAAAATTCGAAAAATACACTTATCGAATAAAAAAAGAGCACTCGAAAATCCTAAAATCACGAGCTTACAATTTCGGACAATTTTAATGTCCGCGAATGAATGACATCGAGTTTGAGAAAATTTCGGAAATTGAAAATCTTAATATTTCACTGCAATGAAAAAGAAAATGCAATTTTTTTCGAGAAAATTCAAATATTCAAAGACCGAGTGTGCTTTTATATTTTCGCAAAGCTATTCGCGAGATTTTTTCGACGTACGCATACCAATTACTCGGAAAAAAAAAGTGCGACCATTCGTGCCTTTCGCAGGACGGCTCGGTGAGACTTATTAGTCGGATTTTCTGTGGGATGAGCGTATATAATTGAGCGATACTGAGAGAGAAAGGAAAAACGCGCGTGCAAATGGCTGAGACGCGATTCGCTCGGTGTAAGACGTCAGTCAGATTCGGTAGCACCGACCGTCGGCGTGTGTTAAGCTGTCTTCGAGTTGACGAGTTAACGTCGGCGGGACGTCACGCGAGGCGAACAAAGCTCCTAGGAGCTCTGCTCCCGTGGAAATTAACGCGTCACGGCTTCATCGAGTTTGATAGGATGCGGCCAAACTTCATTGCACCGTCGAGGAAGGTGCAACAGTGTTGATAATAGTAACGGTGTACGTACGTCAAAATGCTCGAAAAGTCACGCAACTCTTTGCGATTTTACAAAACTTGACATTCGATTCAACATTATTCGGCAACGATTAAGACAATCTCTGTCCGTTAATCTCATCTCTGAAAAAAAACACGAAAAATACCGTTTATAGAGAAAACAATATCTCAAAATCAAAAGTCCGGCAGACAAATAATATATATCGCAAATTTCTGAAAATATGAAGTATCCGCGGAAACGATCGACTCGAAAATACGGAAGCGGTGGTCCATCGCGCTTTATCCCAACAAAACCATTCGACGAATATTCTAGCCTCGATCGCGTTTGCACAACACTAGGGACTTTCATTCGCGACGCAATTTATTGAAAAAAAGCCGTGTTAGTGAAGCTGTAAAAATAGCGTTGGTTAAGTCTTCCCGCGGAGGGAAAGATGTGGCCGCATTTTGCTGACGGTCTACCACACAACGGGGTAGCTACCTTTCATTGAATCAAGGCAGGTTTCCTGTGGTTCATGTTAAAGAATCGGAACTGTAGCCGCAGCGTTAGATCTTTCCGTACTGTTGGGAAAGAATAGGTGTCGTAAGTACATATCGCAGCTTGGACTCGCAGAGTCTATCGTCGATATCAATCGTAAACATTCGCGATGAAAAAGAAATCGCAGCGTGACTCTCGATTAGCAAGATCAAACTTCGACCGTTAACGATGAGTGCTGTTTGATTCCCAATTAATTTTTCAGCGACACCAACGATCATCCGCCAAGATGTTCGAAGGAAGTGCCTTTCAAAAGTGCCTTAAGGATGAAAAAAATGCAAATGTTGTTGGAAAATCTTTTGGCGTCGACACGCGTGTTTCAGTCGAGCTTGATGCGAGCCGAGATGCGCCGCTGCGACTCTTCATCGCAATATCGACACCGCTTGTTAAAAAGGGGACGCGGACGCGTCGTGACGAATATCTACATGTGCATAAACAGGATGTAACATAGAATGGGGGGCTGGCGGTCCACCGGTCCTGCCTGCAAAATACAATCTCACTATGTCGCGCTCGTAAAAACTAGACCCTCGTCATTCATACGTCACATTTACTGTGGCAGTATTGAAGTGTTAGGAATGAAAGAGTCGAAACGTAAAAAAAGAAAGTCGAACGGCGTGCAAAAGAATAGAACAGAGATGAAAATATCAACGATGCAAAGTGAAATCATGCAATTTGTAAAGGTGGAATGTTAAAGAAATCCTGTTTCCAAGAAACACAGGAACGAATTCGCTCAACGATGATTCAGAAGGCACATTATTGTTACACGTATCTTTTTCTCGCGAGAGAAATTTTAGATCACAATGCACGTAGGATGCAAAATTATAGTTTCAATTCTAATATCAGTCGAGTGCTGAGACCGAGAGGACACATTCGGGATTATTGAGACAACTACGAATACCGGATCTCGTGATGCATCTCTTTGCACTCGTTTTCGGAGAATATTAAACAGTATTGTTAAATCTATTGGAAAATTCAGACTTTTTTTTTTTTTTAAGACAGCATTCCAACATCTCAACGTTAAAATGACATTAAAATAATGAATGAGTTACGAATGAGTGCGAGCGTAAAGGGTCACTCTAAGTATTAGAAACGAGTTATTAATTGTAAGTAAAAGATGAGCTCACTTTTGATAATAAAGCTACTCACTGCGCTGCAACAGCGCTACGCTCTATTTTTTAAGTCATCTGCGGGAAGAACGCTGAAGTTTGCGGGGCCAGCAGCGATCGCTACAAGCTTAGCTCGTTCCATGGGTTCCATACGACAAACTGGCCGGATATAAGAGTCAATTAAAATCGCAATAATCGAAATCGTTCGATTGGGCTGAATTTTTTAACGGAGACTCAACAGAACAATGCGGGGAGATTTCGTAATTTTTAGTTTCTGAGATTTTGGAGAACTTGGAAATTTTAGTCAAAATGTACGAGATTGTTTTCATCGGTCTCTGCGAAATAATGCAGTAATGCATGCCATAATGGGAGAGTGAAAGAAAAATAATCTTGAAAGACTTGAACGTTGAATTTACGTAACTAAATTGACTTTAACGCGATAAGATAATCCTGATACCGTTTGTTAATGTTACTTTGTAATATGTAATGTATTTGGTAACAAGCTAGATGTATATATAAATAAATTATCAGTACAACCTAAGCGTATCAATCGTGAAAGCGTCTTGAATACTTCGTCTTGTTAAATAATCAAGATCTTGAAAAAGCTGTGCTGTGCTTAACGTCGACTAAACGCGCGTTCGTTAATCGAATTACGAAGCGTTTAATGAAAAATATACCAGTGAATAATTCATACCAAATTAAACTACTCTAATTTTCGTTTCTCTGTGTTTCGCTGAAAATTCAAAACAGACAAGTCATAGTCTGGCATTTGCGCTGCTTCCTTATTTTTGATAAAAGCGGATGAGGTCAAGTGAATTTAGCGGAGCAATAAAAACCAGGTACTAAAAAGAAGGAGACATGATGCGTGCGAGGTACTTATGATGTTTGAAAGTAAAATTTAAATTTAAAAAATTACCATTTCTCATGATTATTCACAAATCTTCATAAATAATTTCTCAAATATTTTGGATAACTAAACTAACAACTGAGGGCTTAAGATGAGAACTGACGAAACGACGTGTTAGAAACTGAAGGAAAATTTAAGTTTCGGTTGCACAGAAAACGAGCCAGGGACTTCATAATTACCTCTATATGTCACTAGCTAAAAAAATAATAAATGTAACAGCGGGATGAATGGATGAATGATGAGCTACAGTAAAGCGCTACGTGAGACTACGAAGCAAGTTCGGAAGGGTTAGAAGCATTTCGTCACGTGGTCTCCATAGTCCCCCATACAATTGCTCCCATCTAAACGGAAAATTAATAGTGCAATTATCCATCGAGGTAGGAACAATATCTACATAATGCCTCGTTGCGCTGCTAACGCAATTTATGCCGCCTGCTCAAAATTATTGCGCGCTGACCTGTGAAAAAAGCGTCGTATTCGAAAAAGTGGAATTAATACTTATTCTAAAGTGTAAAACATAATTTTCTATAAAACATAGCCTTCTAAAATAAACATATAACTATTTTTGAAATAATATTCCTGGAAGAAGAGTTTTCGTGATTTGTGCTAAACCGTCATTAAACTTTATGTAAACATCGGAGTCAACATTAATTATATTTTTGATGTAAATCATCTTTAGGAAAAATACCTTTTCATTCTTAAAGATGATACATCACATATTTATCATTATACCTATCATATATATGTTTTCTGTCAATTACAATATTCTAAATATACTACTAATCGTTGGCAACGCGACGCCTTTTATGTACTTACTCCTGTCAATGTTGCGTTGCAGATGTGCAGCCACGCGATGTCTAGCATCGTTGAATTCCAAGTGTAGCCCGAGTCGTAGCAACGTCGGATTTTGTTCTACCAGCTGCGTGATTTCCATCTCGATCTTGTTACCCAATACTTGTGACCTCTGAAAGATGATGTACAAACTAAGATTTCTTTTTATCACTGCTTTTGTACAAAACGTATGTAATTTTATGACTTACCTGGTTCGAACATCGAAATTCTTCGATGGACTTTGCTTTAAGAAGGGACCTGATCAACCTTACTATCACAGGTGGGCTTATAAAGTTCGTCTCCACGCTGAAAATTAAAAATTCAATACATTGAAGTAATGAAAAATTAATATTCAGATTTTGCGAATAAGCGTGTATATGTAAAGCGCGCACTTGAGCACTCTTAGCGTCGAATTCTTCTCTAAAGCATCGGCCAGCCGTTGTGCGGTCTTGTCGTTGAGTCCAACGTTGGTTAGACTTAGCGATTCAAGATGTGTGTTCACTTCCAAACCTTCAAACAGTTGTATGAACTTTTCGTCCGAAATATTCTGCAATAAAGTAAATTGTTCGTTTAGTAATATATCGTTTTCTCTGCAAAAGTGTTTCAGCAATACTTACTTTAATATTGTTCCAATTCAAGTCAGTCAGAGATGATTCATCGTCTCGCACTTGCTTGATGGTGGCGTCAACGTCTGTATCGTTTGGCGGGTCCATCGGATAAACTTTCGGTTGACTAGCTTTCGTCACTCCATCCCATCCGAGACCGACTGGCTGTCCAGAATTCAATAAAGACGCGTGATACTGATCTTGATTCATCATGGAATGGAATCCAAGAATAGCTGGAAGTAGGAGTTGGTCGTAATTGCTTATCTTGCCACCTTAAAACGCAAGGCTTTGAGAAACTATGCATTTTACCAGCAAGATCAATGATTTCTTCTTGGGTGGCGGCCGAGAGCGCTTGTTCATATTCTTCTCCAAGATCTATCGCGATCTGTTCCTCTGCCTCCTTCTCCTTCACAGACTCTTGCGGCGGAGGTACCCACTGAAAGAATTCAACGAATGCAGTAGTATTGGTGCAAGTCATATTTGCTTTTATTCCATGACACAAAGCATACAAACATTAACTTTAATCTTTCGCAATTATAACTTCAAATTTTTTTAGATTTCTATATCTGTACTGTGGAGGGAAACAATCGTAAGTGCCTTTGGTTCAAAATTGGGGAAAACGTTAGCCAAAATAATGGTATCAAATATTGTTTAAGAAAAGATACATGAATAAATTGATTCAATTTTTATTATATAACAAACTCTATCCAGGCATAACTTTTGGAATTACGACTGTTTACTTCCACTGTGCAGAACTGATATTAAACTGCTATTACGGTAATTCGTACTCACTTTCTTGCCTCTGATTACACCAGGTACATATGGTTTTAATTCTGGAATATCAGGTGTCTCCAGAGCTTGCTTATTGATGTGTTCGATGAGTTTCTTGCGATTCAGCGGCCCTGTGGGACTCTTGTTGCATTCATAACTGCAACGTTGCGAGGGTGGCATAAAGCTATCCTGTGAACATAATGCTAAATTCAGTATCCCAAAGTACAACAGTGCGGTGGCATTGCTTATTTTTAAAATAATCAATCTTACGTCAGGGTCCACTTCTTTGGCCAGTATATTGAGTTCCTCTGGCGTGAGTTCTGCCAACAATTTATCCACGTCAATGTCATCGTACTCGCTCAAATCCTTGCCGTACAGCTTGGCCGCCGTCGTCATGGTGGTTGTCTTGGTTGACGAGGAAGTCTGCAAATCGTCCCATGGTTGTTGGTCAACAATCGAATGTTTCCTCGACATTTTGCAAGATTCTAATGTACTCTCACACAATACACAATCAACGTAAAAATTGCATTCGACCGATTCCAATATGTATCTGACAAAAAATCATTCAATTGAAATAATTATATATCGGCGTCATGTTCCAGATTATGCAATCGCGTGTAGATTGCAAAAAGACGTGTTTATAAATAGCGTTTTTGTCACTGTAAACAAAGGAAAGACCGTCTCTCGTATTATTGACGTCTCGGCGTCTAATTATCGCGGCGCCTGTCGGCCGGCTCGGATCAATTATTCAAAGGGCGCGCTGGCCGAAGACAAAAGAACGTCGATACGGGAATACGCTTGCTCCGCGAAGGCGCTGACTCGCGGCCGCGACCGACTTCTTTTATCACGGAAGTGTTATCGCACAATGCGAGTGTCGACGGGCGATTCGGCGGCGATCGACTAATTCGATCGCATCGACATGTGCCGCGTTTAAACTCGGCGAGCATCCAAGACGGCTGATGCCCTCTGACCCAGATAATTCAGGATCGATTTTCATTGACAATTTGTGTGCCAAATCGACAGCGGCAGCGGACGGGGCGACCCCGCTGCGATCGACGCCGCTGCCGCTGCCACCGCCGCCGCCGCCCGGCTGACGGACGGGTCTGTTTTGGGACTTACTCGACAGACAGGAGGCGTCACGACGTCCCCACGGATGGACGTATGCGTGCCGCCGCCGGGGTGCGGATTTCAAAATTAAAGGCCCTCGAACGCCAGCTCCAAACCCGCACAATCCTCACGCACAATTCCGCTCCGACGACGTACGGACGCGCACGCTTCACTGACCAGCTCACCAGATCGCGACAGCGCCCTTTGACGTTGACAACACGATTGCATGAAGATCGCGTCGATCCCGCGCCCCGGCGATTTGTCCAGATATCGGGATTTTCGAATGGGACACCTCGATTCTTATATTTCTTTGTAAACGAGCCGAGGCCGATTGAAATCGCAGCTTCTTTCGCAGCGATTATAGAAACACGAGGCGTGTCGCTTAGATAACTGCATAAGGCACTGGAAGATGTTACGCCGAATAGGGTATACGTCGAAGCGAAGGCGGGAGATTTGAAACGACATCGCGTTGCACGAATATAGATTACATTTCAAAAGTGTTAAATTTGTAGTACAGCTAAAGGCGTACAAGTATAATAAGCATAATTATTATTATTTCGTTAATTATCATTTATTTATAGTAATTATAATATAATATAATTATAACAATTATTAGGTGTAAATTATACGGAACTTTTCCAACTAAATTTATACTTTAGATACCAAACGACGAAAAACTCGGCATAATACTTTACTTTGAAAATATATGACAATTACTTTTGAAGTTGGTTTGTGTTCTTCGACAGGGAATCATGAAAAATTAGCGTTAGATCCTGAAAGATCATCGTACGTCCCTGAGCATAAATTCGATATCAGTAGCCTCTAACACGACTTAGATTCTTGAGAAATTTTATTGAGACGCGTAGATAGTTCATTAAAGATAATATTGATATGACATTGCATTATACGCGGCATCCAATCATCTTCGATTGAAACCTCTCACTTTCGTGCGAAGGTCTTTCGCAATGCACTTAATCTTTCTGCTAATTTACGGTAAAGATCTTTAAGACGTCGCCGACTCCAAAGCTACATTGTGATTATGCGATTGCATTGGAAATAATAAAAATTATATAATAATGTAAAATATGGCTCTATTAGACAGCCACCGAGCTTCATAACTGCAGTATCATTCCTTTTACTTTTACTTCTTGAATGAGACTCTGCTGATAACTGGTTTCTAACACGCCTCCTTATTAGATTCAGCTCCAACGCTGTTAAACCCATCGTTCTCGGCATTATTCGCCGTTTAAGATTCATCGATACGCATCAGGAACTGGCGCACATTTATTTGCGCAACCGTGTGCATCGAGTATCGCGTAAAACCACGCAGCACGAGTCATCCGCATATTAATCGAGCCACGAAGTCCTCGTTTCTCGGCTGACCGTGAAACCAGCACGTGAATTCAAGTTGCCAAAACCGGCAATTCCTTCCCCCCCCCCCCCTCGCAGACTTATCTCGTCCGTCCTGTTCCACTCGCGATCACGTAATTCGCGAAGTCCCTTGCATTGACATAATCGATCTAGCAGCTCGGCGTCGCTCAAGGTCGGCCGGAGGAAGTTCTCGCGCGAGATGAGAGGCCGATATCGGCGGGAGGAGGAGGGCGAAGACGAGTCCTCCTCCCCCCCCCCCTCCCACCATCCCGTTCGGTCCAGTCCAAAGAAAAGAACAGCGGGGGCCATCTCCGTCGACAGTTTCGATCGGAGTGTCCGTCGCGCGTCGCGGCGCGTGCTAGCCGCAGCGACAGCCCTCAAAAATAGCTGAGGCCTTCTCGCTGAGGCTGGCACACTCCCAACGGGCTATACTTGGACATACCCGCGCGCGGGATTATTTATAGTAAGCGCGAGAGCGCGGCCACTGGCCTTCTTACGAACTAACTAGCCGCGGCACCGGCCGAGAGGAGACTCCGCCGCCCGTGACCTAGGCCTGCATTAATAACGACTCCACCCTTGCATCGCGAGGAACTTAGCACTTTGCACTCGCCGCTAAGCAGACGCTAGCCGCATCAACGCCTTCGCGCCCTCCCGCCCGCCCCCCTCGCGCTCCTCCGCGCGTTTCCGGGGCTGTCGGCTGCCTTTTAAATCTTTCGACACTTTCGGCTCGCCGAGATCCTTGGAGATCCTACATTACAGTTTGATCGCGTCAAGAATTGAGTGTGAAAATTTCCCTTATGATAATCGGTTCTAGATCTGAAATTTTAAATTTTACGCCCGTTGGTTTTTATGTTCTTAATTATGTGGATCTTGGAACTTTTTAATTTTGAACGGCAAATTTCATTTCTCAACGGCTGTAGCGTACGATTGTTTTCTCAGAAGCGGAAACTAGTAGATTATAAAATCGACGACAAGTCTGAGAGGAAAAAAGTCCGAAGAAGACGGGCCAGATGTGCAATTTGAATGAGCTACTAAAAATACACGATCTTTCACGCGGGACACTGCGTTCTTCATACTTTCCTCGCTTGCTCAATCGACCAGACGACCATCGTGAAAAAAGTCGGCGATATAAAAGTCACCTACTAAACCACATCTATCCGAGATATTTTTATCCCAATCTCTGATGTATTCTCAATGTAAGGTGATATTTAAAGTTCGAGAGACACTGTGCGCAGAATATGAGCACGCATCAACCTCGCCGAGGAAGCTGAAATTATTCTCTAGCTGTCTACAATGATTTTACTGGATTCCTATCAAATTTCTGACTCGCCGCTTGTTTAATTTATAGGCTTGCCAGCAAGAATCCGCGAGTCCGTTACGAGGAAGTAGGACGAAAATGCTGCCGTGACGAGGCGGCGCGATGGAAAACGCAACCAGTTTTTTTTTCCTTTCAGTTGATGGGAAAGCGAATATCGCGCACGCACCACGCTCATTCGCGGGCAGAGATGGAATAGCGACGCGTGCGAAGTTAATTTCTAACGGCGGTTCATCAGCCAGCAGATGCGAGAAGTGAGAGCTGCGAGACTCACATCGCCGAACACGACGATGAGGCTTTCGATACCTCAATTCGCGATTATAAAAGTATAACGTTGCAAAAAGAAATTCATAATTCATATAAGAAAGGATATAAAAATTTCGCTCGCTAATTGCTTCTTGATTCTCGAAATTTGCGCTACCGCGCGAGAAGCGTTGACCTGTCTTAGTTTTCGAGCACCGTTTCCTCTGCTCGACTTCGTTCAACGTACTCTGTGTGTACTTAAGTCAAGCGATCTTTAAGGTTCGTTTGCGGCGTAACGGTCGTTAAACATCATTTTATGCGGCGTAACGTACCGCCGCAACGGTTTCCACGGCGTTGTACCGGCGTTTGCGCGCGTCCACCAGCTGGCGAATAGCATCGGGAGATATTGTTCAATGACCTGGAGCGTCTTCGGAATCGTCAGGCGTTGCGGATCAAGCGCGACGCGATCGAGCATGACGCGATCAAGTGGCAATAATCACCGCCGACACCGCTCCATTACCGGTCGCACGGCTTCTCAGCCCGGCAAGTACGGGAGCAAACTCTTCCGAGAAACCGCGTAATTGCGCGGCGACCGGCGTGCATAATAACAGCAATAACCGCCGCGTCCTCTCGCTAAGGCGGCTCGCGACGATCGCGATGTAAATCATAACTCTCGGGACGATTTATCTGGCGCGGCTTTACGATCTTCGGCGACGTTTTGCGCTCGCGGCGGAAAGCGCGCGCGTGCCAAGCGCGCGTTACACAATGTACCGCGATTCATCAAGCCGTCGTAATCGATCTGCACATTCGCGCCACATTCCTCCTTCGTTGCGCCGGATTATTTTCTGCGCCGTCTTCGATACGCAGCCGCTCTTCGATCGCGAAGCTTTCCGATCTGCCTGTGTAGAAGCGGATTTCTGTTGGCGGCGCGCCAAGTAGCCCCGCCGGGAATTAATAAAATCGCCCGGTCGCGGAAAGCGCAAAGGTCCCGCAATTGTGAAAGTGTATCGATATAAGCCCCGCAATCTCGGGTTATCGTGTCAACTTTTTAGTTAGCCGGCGACAAACCAGCGGATGTGAAACTCCAATTAGTAATTAGACCGACGTCGCGCGTTCATAAATCAAAGACGACTAATTGTGAATCCAAGTAAACGCATTTAATTCGGACGGATGTATAATTAACAATTAGAATTAATTACAATTAGATCAAAATTAAATTAAGATTAATTGGAATCTAAATCGGTGCTAAATATGCACGAATATTAGACGAGCGTTTATGTAGAAATAAATTATCGCGATATTATGCAAACCCGAATTAAATTCAAAAGCGGAATGTGTGTCTTTTTGATGAAACCAATGTGCTTCCCACCCAGATTTATGACACTTT